CAGTCATTTCACCATGGTAAGTTTGGTCTTTAGAAACCATAATAAGATGCAATGGTTTGTTAAATGGTTTATGTGTACCTCAATGGCCTGTCATGTCTGAATTCAGGAACATAGTTTCCATGGTCCTGGTATGGAACTACCACAGAGTCCTCTGGAAAGAGTGGCAACTCCAGCCATCCAGCCTTTATGTGTGGACCAATGAGGAAGAAGTAGACAATACAGGCAGGGAATGATGCATCTTGAGATTGAATTTCAGGCACTGTGGCTGATGGAATTTGTGCCGATAGTGGGAGAACTAAGTGGGGAGGATAGAAACAATAATGAAGTAGAAACCACTTGATTGCCAGTCACATACATCTTGCTAAAAAACCACAAGCCATGGTAACCATGCAGGATTGCTTGCTGTGGTGTTTGAATGGAGGCACTTTCTCCAGTCATTTGGATGACTGAGGACTCCTGCAGCTTTTTGATGAACACTGTTCTTACCTTTCATGCACCAGGTAACCCATGCTTAATGAGAACACGTGTATCTAATGTTTTGAGATTATTCTTATACTCTGCTTTCTTAGGTACCAGTGCTTGCATGTTCCCTAGGAATCAAGTCTTCTCTGAATTTAAAAGTTACCAGACTGAAATGAGCAAATCTTGCTGTAGAAGTTTATATTTTTAGGAAGAAGCCTCTAATTGTTAGGAGTAATTGCAGAATGGAATGATTTAAATGTAATTCAAATTAGCAAAACAAAACAAAAAATCCCAGCCCATTTTGAATAACAGTTTTAATGATTTTTCATATATTTCATAAACAATAGGAAAGATCTTGCCCCTGAGCCATATTAAATTACAAGTAAATCAAACACCATTCATGTTATGTTCTTTCCTACAACTTAGGTTTTGCATTTGTGCAAACCTTTAAATGCTTTCCTTTTTGAGCTGGGGGGCTGTTCTGAAGGTATTTCTTTATAGGGCCTGCCTTAAAACAAACAGAAATAACAGTTGCTGATTAAGTATGGGAATATAGGAACATAGGAATTGTTTTATTTTTCTTTTCTGTGTTGCTCCTTTCTGCTTCAGTCTGCCTTGCCCTAACCCCACCATCAAAAAAACAAAGAGCAAACAAGAATGTGAAATACTTGAGAATGATAGGATGAAGTAAGGTCTGCTAGTTAGTGGGTAGAGTACGGCAGTTTATATTCATGTAAGAATGAAATGCCTGTAGTGGCACGTGGATTCGCCCTGAGGCTTAGGCGAATGGGGTGGCATGTAAGTCTGCTAAATAAATAAATACATATTCATATTTGCAATAGCAAGCTAATCCTTCATTTACGTAGATAGGTCTCCTTCAACTTAGTCTACCTGGCAGAGGCATTGACTCAGTTTAGAGATTGTCTGTAAGACTAATGTTTGTTGTTGTTAGTCGCGAAGTTGTGTCCGACCCATCGCGACCCCATGAACAACATTCCTCCAGGCCTTCCTGTCCTCCACCATCCCCTTGAGTCCACTCGAGCTCACACCAACTGCTTCAGTGACTCCATCTAGCCACCTCATTCTCTGCTGTCCCCTTCTTCTTTTGCCATCTATTGTTCCCAGCATTAGGCTCTTCTCCAGTGAGTCCTTCCTTCTCATTAGGTGGCCAAAGTATTGTGAGTTGAAACTCTTCAGTATCTGGCCTTCTAAAGAGCAGTCAGGGTTTACATCCAGATTATTCAGTATAATATAATTCTTTGAGAGAAGCTTAGGATTTATTTTTAAAAAAGTGATTATTTTTAATGAAAAAATACCTGGCCAAAGAAAATGTGCACATATTCCAATCAGTTAAGAAAAACTTTTAGGGGTGACAGAATAGAATACACCAAATGGGAAACCAGAAGGACTTAGCCACAGACCCATTTAGTTCCACTTGCTTCATCCCATTTAGCCAGCATCAAGAAATATCAGGGAACTGTAGCCATAACTGCTTGAAAAGCAAGCTGTGAAAAGGAAGCAAGGTTAACATCTCCCCATTCTGGAATAGCTGGGTATCTGGGTCTAAAATGTGGAAGACACAGAGAACTGTCAGTTGAAATCAAGAGATTACTTTGCTAAAGGAACAACCTTGTCTCCATGCCTTTTCTGGGAGACTTCCTTCTTCCACTTTCTCCCCCTTAACTGGTGTTTTTCAATTGACAGCTTGACAATTTTGTGCAAATTACCCTATATGCGGTCTCATTTTCTCAGTTTCGATCTATGTTACCAACCACACTTTGACAGTTGAAACTTACAAGAACATTGAGCAGACAGGACTACTTATATGAAATCACCAAAAGTGTGCACTTTCTCATCTGTAGAAAACTGGCAATCTAAAATCAAATTTATGAACACCAGTGTGCAATTTTTTGGAGACAGAAAAAAGCCTCATGACCCCATCTGTGAATTTTTATGGCCTGAAAAACTAAAAGAAACAGCAGTGAACAAAAAGGGGTAGTGATTAGAGTAAGAAGGAGAACACAAGATGACATCTTAACCTCAGATATGCAGATGATAATACTCTAATGGCAGAAAGTGAGGAGGAACTAAAGAGCCTCTTGATGTGGGTGAAGGAGGAGAGCGCAAAAGTTGGCTAGAAACTCAACATGAAGAAAACTAAAATTATGGCATCCAGTCCTATCACTTCCTGGCAAATAGATGTGGAAGAAATGGAGGTAGTGACAGATTTTATCTTCCTGGGCTCCAAGATCACCGCAGACGGGGACTGCAGCCAAGAAATTAAAAGACACTTGCTCCTGGGGAGGAAAGCTATGGCAAGTCTAGACAGCATACTAAAAAGCAGAGACATCGCCCTGCCGACAAAAGTGCATATAGTCAAGGCTACGGTTTTCCCAGTTGCAATGTATGGTTGTGAAAGTTGGACCATAAGGAGGGCTGAGTGCCGAAGAATTGATGCCTTTGAATTGTGGTGCTGGAGAGACTCCTGTGAGTCCATTGGACTGCAAGACGATCAAACCAGTCAGTCCTAGAGGAGATCAACCCTGACTGCTCCTTAGAAGGCCAGATCCTGAAGGTGAAACTCAAATACTTTGGCCACCTAATGAGAAGGAAGGTCTCCCTGGAGAAGAGCCTAATACTGGGAACAATTGACGACAAAAGAAGAAGGGGATGGCAGAGGATGAGGTGGCTAGATGGAGTCACTGAAGCAGTCGGCATGAGTTTAAGTGGACGTTGGGGGATGGTGGAGGACAGGAAGGCCTGGAGGAATGTTGTCCATGGGGTCACGATGGGTCGGACATGACTTCGCAACTAACAACAACATGCAAAAAAAACCCCACTATGCGAAAAGAAAAGTATACTGCAGTAAAGCTCTGTAGATATAAATGGAATCCGAATATCTGTTGAGGTCTGTTTCTTTTTAGTACTTTTTTTGTCAAGTCAATTTTTGAACAAAATAATCTATGGTTTATATAATATTTCAGTGCTGAGCGGATTTCAGAGCCTGAGAAGTTGGAAAAGCAGAATAGAATTGACCACTTAAAAGAGCAGCTGAAGATGTTACATGATCAAAATGAAGCAGTTGGTCAGGAGATAAAGCAGTTCCAGGAGGCTGTACGTACATATGAAGAAGAGCATTCTAGGTTAAAGTAAGTTTTGCATAACTGTTTCATTACTTAATTTGTGTATTGAGCTACCTGTCAGAAGTCTGATTTTTTAAAAATTCTTCCAGCCATGTTGAGGCATTTTCTTTGTGAACCCTGAGCTTTCACCTGCAAGGGCATTTCCCAGTGGCATGAAAGGAGTATGCATGTGTAACCTTCCTCTGGTGTTTTGGATATTTTGGGTTTCAGCTCCTAGTGTTCCTGGCCATTGGCCTTCCAGGAGCTCAGAGTCCCTGCTATTTTCCTGCAACTCTAGGACATATCTGTGTTTCGGGTAGAGATCATCAACACCCCACTTTACTAAGAATCCCGAGTAAGCCATTTCCCGGTGCTCCTTTGTAGAAGAGGCATGTGGGTACTAAGATTATGTGTTGTAAGCCTTGCATGTTTCATAGCTTTGGAAATCAGACTTCTGAAGTCTTGCTAAGGCAGTTCTACCTGACAGAGGCTAATCTGTTTATGTTCAAAGACATCTTGCGACTATAGAAATGGAATTAATATGTTCATAATGCATCATATTTCAGTACTTCATTTCGTTTTATTTTTAGGAGAGAGGAACATGAACTGAAACAAGTATTGGATCAGCAGCAACGACAGCTAAAAGAGCTGAAAGAGAGCAAAACAAATAGACTGAAAAGATTTGGGCAATATATGCCAGACCTTTGTGATGCAATTGAAAAGGCCGATCAACAGAGACAGTTTGTACATAAACCAATAGGCCCTCTAGGTAACTTATAATTGTACTGCTTGTATTCAAATAATGGCCAGAAGAAAATATGGGGAAGTGGGTTGCAGCCTTAAGTTTTTCAAGCTAAATAGTAAACATACGATTGGCCTGTGTTTATGTAGAGCTGGCTCTAAGGTTTTGTGTGCCCTTGAGCTAGGCATCCTCAGTGACCTCCCCCCTCCCTTCCTTTAATGAGTCTGCCTTCTCACCATCATTGTCATCAGCTGTAACTGCATTGGTGTTGCTTGCTCGACAGGCAGAGAACAAGTGAGTATCTAGGTAGTAGCATCTAGCGCTCCTCCTCACCGCCACCATTGTCTGGGCCAGATTCATAGAATCATAGAATAGTAGCATTGGAAGGGGCCAAGGAGGCCATTGGGACCAACTCCCTACTCAGTGTAGGACTCCAAGTTAAGCCACCCCTCTCAGATGACTGTCCAGCTGTATCTTGAATGCCTCTAGTGTGGGGAGAGCCCATCACCTCCCTAGGTAATTGGTAGGCAAGTGAACAAGCAGGTTGCAATGGTGAAGCCAAGTATTAGTCCAAGGGGCCTTTGTCAGTTGGCCCCTACTGCAATGTATGTCCTTGGAAGATGCCCAGCCCTACCCACCCTTGATGTCCTTTGTGTGTGTGTGTGCTGTTTCCTACTTTTACATTCCAGTTCCTAACAGCATGTCTTGTTTTGGTGCACTGTCTGTTTCCACTTAGATACTGGTTTAAAAGCTTTCCATTTGTTCTTCTGTTGTTGGACTGTAGAGTAGAGCAATCGTTATGTTGATAGATTTCCCTAGAATTCTGAAGGACATGATTCAGTCAGACTTTGTATTATAGCCCATTATTGCCAGTGCTTCATTTTTCCTCATTATTAGAGCCACTCTTCTGAGTTAGGCATTTCCAGAGTAAAACACTTCTGACTGACGAGTTTGTTTAACTGAAGATGTCCCATTCCAGTCTGCTTTAGTTCACTTGCACCAAGTATTGTGATGCTTCGCCATTGCATTTCTTGCTTTATGATTTCCAGCTGGCCTTGATTTCATGCTTCTCACATTCTATGTTCAAATTGTATGTGTTGTGCAGCACCAGACTTTCCCTTCTGGGCCAATAGACTTCCTTTTGGATTTGATCTAGTTGCGTTGTTAGTGACAGCACTCTTTGTACTCGTCCCTGGCTCTTCTGTGGTAGCTTTCTGAGAGCCCTTCAGACCTGGGAGTCCCATCTTCTGGCACTATCTCTTGTTTTATTTTGGGATTTTCCTCATAGGGTTTATAGCGTAACAAATATTCAGAAGTGGTTTACCTTCTATGCAACGCTAAACAGAGTTAGCTTGAGCATCACCACTGCTGTTTGCAAAAGATCCTGTGTCAATGTTGCCTTCAGGTACTGTTGCTGCCCTGTAGCTGCCCTTTAGGAATTTCTCAGTTCCATCAGCAGTACAATTTTCTTTTCTGCTGATGTGACCATTACTCCTGAAGAGGGTAGGTGCATTTTAGCCTGGCGTCTCAGTTTGACCACTCTGCTTTGGGTGACCCTGCTACTGAGAGAGTCTGGTCTCCTGGCAGCATTGCTCTTGGCTTCTCTGACACCCATAACTCCCTGCCCCCATATTAAGGTGTGCATCTGGAAGGTGGGCAATGAATCTTGGGAAATAATAATGTCTTCAGACTGTGTTTTACATCACTGTGGGTGGTGCTAGTCACTAGAAAGAGGATGAGAACCACAGTCCACATGACTGAAATAATTTACTTAAAGGTTATGCATGATGCTGACACTTGGTTCTTCCATTTAGGTGCTTTTATCCATCTGAAAGATGCTGAACTTGCTCTGGGTGTGGAAGCATGTTTGAAGAGCTTGGTCCTGGCATTTTGCTGTGATAATTATAAAGATGAACGAGTGTTACAGACATTGATGTCCAAGTTTTGTAAAACTAGTTTTCGTCCCCAAATCATTGTTAGTTCCTTTCGGAGTAATGTTTATGATGTGAGGTTAAGGTGAGTGTGCCTGACATTTTCAGTCCAGACCTTTATATATCTGTTTGTATTAAAGGTAAAGGTTTCCCCTTGACGTTACGTCCAGTCATGCCTGACTCTAGGGGGTGGTGCTCATCTCCGTTTCCTAGCCGAGGGAGCCAGCGTTTGTTCACAGACAGTCTCCGTGGTCATGTGGCTGGCATGACTAAACACCGAAGTGCTCGGAACGCTGTTACCTGCCCACCGCAGTGGTACCTTTTCATCTACTTGCATTTGCATGCTTTCGAACTGCAAGGTTGGCAGGAGCTGGGACGGAGCAACTCACTCTGTTGTGCAGATTCAAACCGGCAACCTTTCAATCAACCAGCCCAGCAGCACAGCAGTTTAAACCACTGTACCACCTAATTGATACTCTTTATTATTGTTAAGACACAGCCCAGTCTGTTATCTTAAGTGACATTTTGAAACTATACTATATTCTTTTATGCTTCTACAAACTTAACCAGAATGTTTTGTATTTGAGTCTTTTGTCATCCTTTGTAACAGTAATTAGGTTAATTACTGATCACCTTAACTCTTTTTGTAGGTCTGCTGTACATCCTGAATTCCCCTCAGTCTTGACAGCACTCAACATTGATAATGCTGTGGTAGCCAATTGTTTAATTGACATGAGAAGCATAGAAAGAGTCCTGCTAATCAAGGTAAGATTTAGCTCTTATAGCTGCGATATAAACAAAAGATTTAATTGATCTTTTTGTGATCATTCCAGTTGCTCATTATTACTGTTCATTAGCTACATGATCTGACTATTGTGTGTAAAAAGCAAGTAATTGAGAAATTTCTTTCTTGACTTGCTAATATGTTGGAACAGAGTTAAGATGGAGTTTCATGAGGGTGATGAGAGTTTGTAAGGGAAAGACTTCGCCATTGTAGCAAGGCAGAGATTGAGGTGTGATTTGGTTAAGGCAGGTTCTCTGATGACTCTAGGAGCTCCATCATTCTCCCAGTGCAGGAAAGAAATGCACATGAGCTTTAAAGACTTGTTGTTAGTCTCAAAGTCTTGCCCGACCCATCATGACCCCATAGACTTGTTAAGTCAGTCACTTGCATAAAGATGAATGCAGGAAAAGATAGTGTTAGAATGTGGATAATGGAAGAACACTTTCACTGCTCACTAATTAGTATATTTAACCATTCAGTTGGCAAGTACCTTATTAAAGCTTTCTTAGTCCCAAATATCATAGGCCCAGAGAAGATAATTTTGTTGCGGATGTTTTTCTCTCTAGAATAACTCTGAAGCTCGTAGAGTTATGCAGCAAAACAAACCTCCGAACAATTGTAAAGAGGCATTCACTGCTGAAGGTGATCAGGTGCTTGAGAATCGATACTATTCTTCAGAAAATTCCAGGCCCAGGTTCCTCAACAAAGATGTGGAAGCAGACATAAGGTTAGCATTAGCCGCTTAACAGTTACTTCTGCAAGACAGATGGAAATTTCTGGTGCTTTGGAATATCTGTGTATAATGCTGTTCATAAAACATTTTCCTTCTTTAAGCCTCTTGGAGAAAGAAATTGAAAGTAAAAGAACTTGCCTGGCAGTATTTCAGCAGAGAATACGTTCCGCTGAGAATGATAGCCGAGAGAACAAACGCTTGCTGGTTGATCATCGTCAGCACCAAAAGGAATTGCAAGTAAGAGATACATAGAAAGTAACTGCCGCTTTGGAAAATAACTTTTAATTGGCCTGATATATGTTAAAATATTGTAAGGGTTTGGGCTTTTTCTTTTTAAGAATATGAGCAGTTCTTGTTTTTTCTTAATTGGGTCCTGAGTGTGCTAAAAGCATCAAAATATCGTATTGCTCTGAAATATTTAGGGGGCATAGCCCACTGTCATTGGGAATACAAATGCTTTTCTAAATTTCAGTTGACGGTAAGCTTAGAAACACTCAGAATTTGGGCAGCATCTTTCCACCAGGTTTCCCTTGAAACCCTTAGATTCTGCAAACATGCTTCCTTCCCAAGAAAGGAGATTGCAGTCCACAGAGTCAATGGATTCCCATCTCTGGTCCTTAATGCTGCAATCCTGTTCAGCAGCAGTACCTGATGCAATTCCCTTGCATCCCCCCTGAAGTGGCTTCCCCAGAAGTGCATCCCCTTTGGCAGTGTTGTTGCCAGGGCATTGTTGGCCTGCTTTGGGCCAGCAGATAAAGGCCTGCTGAGCATTTATCCAGGGTGGCAGGTGGCCTTGCAAGAGCTTTCTCCTCTTGGCAGCACAACAGCTTCAGGAACTTCTCTCAGGCAGAGTCCCACTCCAGCCAGTAGCAATGTCAGCCAGGGAGAAGGCCGACAGGATGGTTAAAAAGGCTGGCAAAGTCTTTCTCCTTCCTCAAGAGTGTCCAGGTCTGTATGTTCATAGCTGCATAGCTTTCATTTCTTGTGTAATTTTTGGGCCATGAAATCAAAACACATATGTATTCTTCCAGTGTGATTTGTACAGAACACTGTTTAAAAGATATTAAATGAGTTCTTGTTGTAAAATGTTTTAAGGGACTTTTAATCAAATTTATTTCAAAACCTTAGCAGTGCAACCCTATATATGACTACTCAGAAGTGAAATCCAGGTAAATGTGTATAGGTTTGAACCTAAAATATTGGTTGAATGCACTGTGTATTTATTGCATATTTCTTTTCATTGCCATTACAGATAAAAATGAGGAAAGTAAAGCTAGAAATTACAGATCTTGAGAATGTAGAAGAACAGCAGTCAGTGGTTATCTCCACCCTGGTAAGCACACTTATTATCTTTATATTATCTGTCTCACAGAAGTGTGTGTTCTGAGGGCAAAGAGTAATTCTTATTAATGTCAGTAAGATTTCTGAGGTTGTTATGCACTGGGAGTTTTTTTATAATCTTCATTTTGCCATAATTAATAGTCTGCTTGACAATAATAGGGGTATATTTTAGCCCCATCTTAGAGATCAATCATATGGTTCCTAGATAGCATCTGAAGCTCCATATGAAGGCTTCTTCATGTCTATTGTCAGAGCTATGGAAACAGAGTGGAAGATCTGATTGTGGATCTTCCCACCATCTCCCAACCACCATGAAAAGCGTCTCTTAGAAGGCTGGAACTACATCCGCATAAAAGAAGTAGAAGGATAAAAGGAGGAGTGCTTGGAGGGTGGGCAAGAGCTGTGATATGCAATATCCTATGGGTTTTCCAAGTGGCTTCCCACTCACTGAAAGATAAGTCATCTGGATGGACCCATCTAGCTGCCTGTTGCTCTTCAGGTGGAGATGAAAATGTTCCTGCCCTCTTCTCACCCTGTTTGATATTTGCCAGCAAAGCATGGAGGGGGGCTCTTGGTATATAAAAATCTTTAATAAACAAACAAACAAACGCATAGGTTTACACACTTAGTTACTGGTAATAGTACATACATTGTGTAAAGAATGTATGCGTTCACACTTGTCAATATATGGAGATAAGAGTTGATCATCAGAGAACATCATTTACATTCAGGTTGAGGATGCACATGCATAAGCAATCCATAGGTACCAAGCACAATGTATGCAACCCGTGAGCAGTGATAGGTGCTCATGCACAGTTCTTGCTGCCCACTGTACACAGGCAGAGTGCACATGTAATATGCAAAAGCCCACAAGGCACATGTGCGGAAACAGAACTTAGCTTGTGCAGCAGGTACACAGGCAGCATGGATGCAAACTGGCCTTTTTATACTTGGATTCACTTCCTGCCAGAAGCCTGCACAAATGCTGTGCACAAGCTGGATTAGGGAAGGAGGAAAGTTGGCCAGAGTCTGGGAAGCTGAGCTGAGCAAATGCAGTGGACAGCATTGCCCCCACACCACTAGATGCACCCTTGCTGAATCCCTTTAGTTACTGAAGCAGGTATAGATAACACCTTTTGAATGTTGATTCAAATGAAGAGTGCTTATATGAAACATGAGCTTTTTATCCATTAAGGTGCATCAATTTTCCCTAGTTATGGAATTGAATGCAGATTGAACATTAATGAAAGCTGCAAAATAACTTCCTCAAAGTCTGGAGATAAAGCTATACAGTGATCTACTGTGGTTCTCCCATGTCTGAACAAGTTAATTTAAGAGTTTAAACTACAGCAAAAAAGAGCCATATGACACACGAATAGCTAGAAACTGTATTGTGGCTTAATTTGTGGACCAGATCCCATAAAAGCTTACGCTACAGCAAAGCTACGAAACAAGTGCCTTACAATTCTTGTAGTGAAAGCATATGCATACATGTCCATGGGACTCAATCACTATAAAGTATGAATTAGATTTCAACCTTATCCTGTCACAAAAAAATAGTGAACATCAGTAGAAGAAATCCCTAAAAGTAATCCCAACACTTTACACATGATCTTAAATGAAAGTCTGCGCAACTAAATGTACTTTCAGTTATCATAATGGGTGGCCCATAGTATGAATAAATTCTCTTGGTCTCATGAGATATGCAGTGGTGAAAACATAAGTGAGCTATCCTTGAGTTTTTTGTGAGATGTAATTTGTAAATTTGCTGGCACATTTATGGCACATCTGTGTTAAACATGGGATTGTCCTGGATGGTTCCAGACCCAGTTTCATGACCAGTAATTCAAAGTAGTTTAAAAATCATTTGGAACTTTTTTTAACAGGAAGAAGAAAAACAAGAGAACAAGCTGAAGATGAATATGGTTAAGGGCAGTATACATAACCAGAAGGAGAATGTGGAGGAATTGAAACATATTCTACAAGAGGCAGAACAAAATTTTGCAGCACTTAAAGACAAGATTGATAATATACAAGAAGATGCTGGTGCAGTCGAGGTTCGTGTTTGTTCTTTTTCTGACTGTTTGCATTGTCTGCCAACCCATCATGGGCAGCCAGCAATGGAGGATTGCTATGTCATCCAAATCTGGTGCATCCTCCAGAGTTGTTTCACACACCTTAAGAACCCATAGTATGCTGTAGGTTTGTTCATACCTCTGATAGATTGTTGTGCTATCTGAACCCAGGAAGGTGATTTTACGATGGGTTGTTCAAAAGTGTTACTGATTCCTTGGGCAAGAGTGGTCAGAAATGGTGGTGCTTTTCTCCTTGTGAGTGAACTTGCTTGCTGAAGTCTGACTAGGAATGTTGTGCTGTGGCAGCTTATGCCTTCCCTTGGCATTCTCCTCCCCCATCTCATGTAGTCTTTGACTTCACTTGTCAGTGAACTAGCTTTCCCTTGCCCATGTGGGTCAGCTGGATGTAACTAGCACAGCAGTCTTGAAGGAACTTCAACGAATAGTAGAGTAGGAAGGAGCCATAAAGGCCATTGGGTCCAACTCCCTGCTGCTGCAGGTCACCAGTTTACACCATTCCACTCAGATGGCTGCCCAGTTTCCTTTTGAATGTCCCTAGAGTGGGAGAGCCCACCACCTCTCCAGGCAGCTGGTTCCACTGCTGTATTGCTCTGACAATGAGGAAACTTCCTGGTGTCTAGGCTGAAGCTGGGTTGTTGCAACTTGAGTTGATACTCCTATACTCTGGTATCAGCAAGAAGAGATCTTGACCTTCCTCTCTCTGGCAGCCTTTGAGGTACTTATCTTGCCAACTTTGGTTGTGTCTACAGTTTGCCCTTCCTCTGAACCTAAACAGTTTCTGCAAAGTTTTTCTCTGAGATAATGCTTTGCTTTATTCAGTAAAGTAGTTAATGCTATCGTTTGACACTTCATGTCGTGCAATCCATTAATATGATGGCATGTGTAAAATTTATTTTCATTTTTGGTGGATCAGTACCAATATTAACACCAGCCATTTTTGGAAAAAATATTCCTGCTGTTGTTTGCATACACCTCCATAAAGCCCTTGCCTGTGTTGGGGAACAAGTATTCAACCCAGAATATGTTGCTAATCCTTCCCATCCTCAGAAAGTGGGTTGAAGTGCATTCTCAAGGGAAATGCCATTTGAGCTGGATATCCATGTGGAAGGTAGGAAGTCCAAAACAGTAGCACTCTTCCACCTGTAGTGCCCAGGCATCTGTCTCCAGAGGAGCAGCATCACAGTACTGTTGACTAGCTTAATTTATTAATGAACTACCAGAAGATCTGGCAAGTGAGTTTGAAGGAAGCACTCCTTTCCCAGTTATCTCATTTGAGGGGAGGAAGCTCAGACACTCGTCTGTAGCTGTGGACTTAGTACGCCTCTTCACTTCCTTCCTTCATTGGCTTTCCCCAAGAGGAGGTGGAGGGGACGGGACAAAGCTGAAGCACAGGCGCAGTGGAGGAAGAGCAGCTGGCAGAACAACTGAGACAGGCAGCTGCAGGACCCACTGCAACAAGGGAAGACCCAGCAGGGAAAGAGTCACAGCTAACCAGCACTCAAAGGGCAGCACAGCTCTGTAATAAACATACAACCGACTTGGGTGCAGCCTGCACATGTCACTGAAGCATACTAGTGAATGGGAACGTAGAAGAAAGACCAGCAAACACCCTTTGTCTGTCTGGTTAGCTCAGACCATCATCTGCACATCAAGCAAGTCTGTGGGTGGCAGCTTCTTTTCTGTACTTGTGCATGTACACTACAAAATTGCAACACTGTGGTATAGCTGCACCAAGCATTTCATTGGTGTTGAGGATGAAAGGGGCTCTTCAGGATGGCATATCTTCCTTTATGGAGCCATGGGCACTTGTAGTGGTTTGTTTACACCTTAGTGCCGTTCCCAAGTGGCTTAATCCAAAGTGCTACTTTTCCACACTTCTCCATCTGCCCTTCTCTTCTTCAGCTGCTTTCTCTGAAGCTTGTTCATCATGATACATGGTTACATCAACCTGTAATTTAGTAGGGGCTTTGAAGAGATTTAGGGGAGAAATACTTGCTGCTGCAAAGACAGCTGCTCTAAAAACCCATACTAATCACTCCTGTGACTGCCATGAGTAGTTTCCAACCCCAGACCAGATTCTGTAGTGGTCCTGCTGTACCTCTCTTGGTGGAGAGGAGTGAGAGGAGCAGGGTTATGGAAGATGCCTGTTTCAGCCTGCTCTGCGCTGACTCCAAATGCTGCCGCGTGGACACAGACCGCCTCGATTGCTGCTGTCCTGGCGGAGAAGCTTACTGCACACAGAGGTGTTCAATATGCCCTGCTGCATTTTGAAGCCATTTGGAGTTCTGTGGTGGGCCCAGATGCTTGAGTTGTTGCCAAGTTTCATGGCACTTTCTGCACATCTCAGGCACCTTTTGATAGTAGCACCAGAAATTAGTCTGGTAATCCAGTGTTCTGACACAGCAGGGAAAAAAGGTCAGTGGTGACCTTGTACAGACTTGCTCTCAACTTCGGGTGCCTCCTTCTCAGCAGTATGTTCACAGCAGGTACAACTGCCATGTGCAACAACTTTCCATAGACAACATTCTGAGCAACATTCTGAAAAGTGAGGGATGAGAAAATGTGGGGTTCGGTTCTCTCAAGCTACAGGGGCCCTTGGATTCCTTGCATGTGCAAATTCTAGCTCTGCCTGGGTGGAGTGAAAAGCTCTGCAGCTGAACTTAGCTTTACAGCATGTTCCTCCTCCAGGCCCTTGTAAGGGGAATTAATAGATATTTATACCGGAATTTCAAAGCCAAGTCATGATAAGGCCATCTTCTGCAATTCTCTATTAGCCAGTCAAGGAAGGTTCTGCTTCTTCAGGACCAGGAGCCGAGGTTGACGTGGTGGTCATCAGTGGACAGATGAATGACAGTCCAGCATCTGAAACAGTGGGCATAGTGGGAAGCTAAAAATAGCTGTTCAGCTGTCTCCAAGGGATTCTGGGCCCATTACCCAGATATGTACTGTGGATGAGAGGAGACCATGTGGCTGTTTAGAAAAACTCAGAATTTTAGCAATGCCTTTTCTGCTAGCCACTGTTATTCTTGCCATACCCTATATAAACATCCTTTCCTTTTAAGTGCTCCCAGAAGCATTCTCCCATGCAGTTTTCTGATAGATAGTATTCCCCATGTAAACATCTTCCATGCATTCATGGAAACATACTTGCACCCTTTTAAATTACTAGTCCAGTTCATTGAAGGTACTACCTAGAACCACCCACCTGATCATGAACACTTCAGCAAGCAGTCTTCATATTAGCAATGCCAGCAAAGTACAGACACCTGTGCCTTGCAAAAGTATACAGTTTTGTTCTTATGGCAACAACAAAAGCTTCCCAAAACTGTTGTTTTATGATGGAGATCTTTGGAGTTGCAGCTGTGTCTGCTCCAGGCTTCATAAAAAGTACCAGATAGAAACAGTAGGGGGTGTTCTTGGGGTGAAACATATGCTGGCTGGCATAGCTGGAAAGGAGGGAAGCTTCTGTCCAAATTCCTCTTGAACAATTTGGTCCTGGTTTGGAGATGGAGGTGCTGAGGGAGAACTTTCCAGCATGACAAAATGGGATTTCCCTCTCTGAGGAGAGCTGTGGGTTGGGAGAAAAGGCAGAAAAGAGGGTGAGCTAAAGTGGCTTCACCAACAGGTATGTGTGTGTGTTGGGAAACTAGTTAATACTTGCAGAAAGTAGAAAGGGGAGGAGTGGAGGATGCTGAGTGAGAGCCACCCCTGTGAGTGTTACGAGTGAATGGATGAAGGAAATCTGCCTCTGTGCAGGCAGGCAAAAAAAGCAGTCTTAAGGTTTACAGTTTTAATTAGAAAAACTGGGCAGGTATTGGCTGGCATGGAGAAGGCAAGGATTGGAAAACTTTGCAATGGATGCTGGCATTCAGCACACACAGCAATAGTAAAAAGCATGCTGAAGCCATAAGGGAGCAAGAGATCATGAGTAAGCCCCATTCAATTTGATAGGTCTTACTTCTGAGTAGAAATGTATAGGACTGCAGTGTTGGGATGCAATACTAGCCATTATGTTGTTGATAATCAATACTCCCCCAAACTCAAAGTCTCCCAACCTTCATGTACAAAATGGGTGGAGCAGCAGAGATGTTCTTTACCTCCTCACTCTCTCATGCTGCTGTTTTTGCTTGTTTAGCAAGGGTGCTTCAGGGAGGGAGAGAAGGAGACTGGCAGAAGCTGCTAAACCGACCTCTCCAATCTCTTCTGCTTCTCAACTATGGAAATGCCCCCTTTTTCCTTTCTCTAGGGTTGAGTTTATGACCTCAGAGACAATCTGGCACTTGCCTGGCTATAAGAGAGAGCGGAGTTGGGTCTCTAACCCTAACATATCCCCCCCCCCCACATGAAGCCAGTGCACTATTTCCAGCCTCAGAGGTGAATGATGTTGTGACTTTTCAAACACTGTCCAGAGGACATAGCATTCATCCGTTACTTTATCAGCTTCAATTTATGGTTTTGGAAATCAATAAAGTTACATTTTATATTACAATTTGTCCTCAACAGGAAGGGTTACGTCAAGCCGACCATGAACTTGAGAGAAGCAAAATCAACTTGCAACATTATGAGGAAAAAGAGAGAATCCATTTGGAATCCATACAAAAGAGTAAAAATAATCTTGGTACAAAAGAAGAAGAATTAGCGGTATTCATTGTTTTACTATGATGAAGTTTTGCATTGTCAGTGAGATGCACACTAAGTGGTTAGAAAGTGTGTAGCAACAACCACTGTCCAGCATGAGGAGGCATCCGTGCTGGGTTACCTCCCACCACCAGTACCACCATGGTAAGGTAGGGAATGCAAGGCAAGTGCTTAGTCTTGGTCCTGGCCTCTGGGGCTCACTCCTTCCAGGTCCTCCCAACCTTTGCCCAGGATAGACCTTGTTCTTGTTTTTGATCTCTGTGCATTTGGGCTCTGCACTTGCACGTGTGGAAGACTTTATAGCTAAGTGCATTGTGGCAGGAACCCCTGCCCCACCCTGGCATCCATTATATGTGGGAGGAGTTCCTGCCCATTCCCACAATTCTTCTGGAACCAACTTCAGTTCCTCCAGAAGGTCTTCTCTCCCTCCCCAGTTTTGTGACCTCTTGAGCATTTTCTTTTCTCTAATACCCTTTGTTTCTCCTCAATGATTCTTTCTATATGTCCAAATGTCCATTTTCTCAATTTTTGCTGTCTTTTTCCTCTCAATCACTATTTTTTCCATTCCTTCCAACAAGTATGTATGTATTAAAGCCCCTCTTCATTCTTCCTCAGCTATTCTACAGTCTTTATTCTTACCTTATTCTAAATTGCTTCCTTCTTTGTTTCAATTTTACCAATGACATCAAAGGCTTTCTTCCTCAAATGTGTGCAGTGTGGTGCCAAACCATTGCCTATGGATGGACATTCTTTCTGCCTACTATGCTTCGGTAAGGGACTTTGCCCATTTGCCACTCCTGGGATAGGGAATCTGCCTACTGCATTGTACCAACCTACCAAGGGTTCTGTGACCCATGGCGGTACCACCATCAAGGCCCCATCTGTGACCCCTGGTGCTGGAATGCCTACCAGCCTGAATTCAATGGGAGATGGGCAATACTTTCTGACTTTCCAAAGACTACCAACTCTGCCACTGAGATTTCATCTTTCACTGAGACTTCAACAGTCAATTTCTTAGCACATGCAGCTTTAGGGAGCCCCGGAGTTACCTGCTTCTATCACTATGTCATTGCATCAGTCCAGCTATACGTGCCCCCTCCCCTGGCCTGCGCTTCACCAAGGACTGTGAGTCTGCCACAGAGGCAGCATCCTGTGTGGCTCTGTCATTTTTCTCTCCAAGTGGTTGTGGACACTAAAGACACAGCTTCTTCAGTGGCAGACACGGCCCATTTTTCTGAACATATACAGAGGATGTTCCAAGTCCTCAGACTGCGTACACAGGTGCAGCCAGAGAGTGTGTTGAACCCAGTTTTTGCCATCATGTAGATGAGTCAACACAGGTTACCTACTGCAGGACATCCAACAGACTTGGAGGGCTTCACCCACTATGGTATCACTGACTAAACAGCTGGAGAGCATGTACAGGGTACAGGAGTATGACATGATCTTCCTTTTTCAACATGTTTGATTCCATGCAACAAGGAGGGATGCATCCTGGGCACCTTGGGGAGGTGCATCTTGATAACTCCTTGATGGCCAAGACTGCTCTGATTCACTTACCGGCTAAAGATATCAGCCTGAACTTGTATCCCGCTCCTTTTGGTACTGGACTTGATCTCCAAGGATCAAGAGAGAAGTTTTCACCTGGACATCAGCACCTTCCACCAAATGACTTGGGGGATAAATCCCTAGCCCATACATGGTTTGACCTCCCAGCAGAACTAAAGCATATTCTCGGTACAAGATTGAAGCTGTCCACCAGGAGGTCATATGCTGTGAATGAAAATTCTTCTCATCTTTTGCAGCAACAGAAGGCTTCAATCCATGTTGATGCACAGGGACCACAAAGAAGAAAGGCAAGTTACTTACCTGTAAATGTCATTCTTTGAGTAGTCACCTGTGCATTCATGGAACTTGCCCACAGACTCCACTCACTTTTAATGCCTTTTAGTAGTACTTTGCCTTTGGCTAAGGTCAAAGTTCGTTATATTGTTCTTCCCTTGGTCCCAAGGCTACCTGGGCAGTCTTGAGTGAACTGAAGGAATGGGTGGGAACACCTTCCATAACAGATGCTGGGGGAGGCGTTCCTGCCAAAACATTCTTAACTGTAACATCTCCCCAGCAACAGGTGGCACACAGGTGCAGAGCCCATGTGTGTGACGGCACAGATGACCACCAGGAAAACTAGTTACAAGTAGGCAATCTGCCTTTTCTCTCATCTTTCTGAGCCACATAATCTGTTCCTTCTTATGATCTCTGGATTTATTTCCATATCTTCTCCATTTTTGTCTTCAACTCCCCTTGAGTTTCACCAGAAAAGGAGAATGAGCCATCTTGGGTGAGGCAGTGCCACTGTCAGCATCCAGCGGCCTCCTCTGGCTCCAATTGCTTCCAGGCCTCTTTTGGAGATGGAGGAAGTGCTGCTTCATTTGAGCAGAGTGATATGAACCTTCATGATGTTTCTCTGCTGAGGCCGAAGATGAGGACCAGCATTACCACAGAGCACACAAGCAAGTGATTTTCAGCTTTGAGAACAGGAAGTAGGGCAAAGAAACTTAACTGTGATCCACCTTACTTGACATGACATCACATTACATTATTTTACATGCAGGGGTCTGTGCCATTCTCTGGGGAAATGAAGCTATTCTGCCATCTTAATCCTTTCCTTTTTTAGTTGTTACTGTGTGCTTTGTCCTAAGATTGACAAGGATGTAACTGGAAGGCAGGGGGCACAAGAGGGAGAGACCAAGGCATACATTCGCATTTTTTCTTAGGCAGTAGTGGTGGAAGGTAACTCAACATGGATGCTGAATCGAATGGAAATTCACAGTATGTGACCAACTTTTCATTCTTTTGTGTTTGCTTTTGATTATACATTGCTAGCTTCTCTACTGGAGAAAAATGCACATTAATTTCTTCATTTAATAATAGAGAATAGAGTGCTCTTGCAGTAGTACTATAAGCTGGGAGATCCCCAGTACAAATATCAGTTCTACCATTAATTTTCCTAAGCGACCTTATGGTGATAATGCTGGTTCCATTCTGCCATGTTGTTACATGAATTACTGATGTGATTCATGTAAAATGAAATGTGAAATGCTTTGAAAACTAAAGAACTACCCAACAATTAGGTGTGTTTTCTTGTTAAATAACCATAATTAAAAAAAAAAAATCCTACCACCTCTTGAGCCTATTTGGAGCTGTGTTAATGATTTGAAGTGGGAATTTCGGCGAATGGGGCGGCATAAAAATGTTTTAATAAATAAATAAATTTGATGATATTACACTGTTTTCAAGCAAAATATGCAGAGGCTTAAGGAAAACTATTTGTTGCCATGTTTTAACTTGTTCATTAGGAAATGATTGCAAAGGCTTCAAAGATTCATCCAGAGCGGATAGAAGTTAATAGAACCTTTAAAAGCCTTGAAACAGAAATGAATCACTTAAGAAGAAAGATAAATTCCGAAAGAGAACATATTGGTGATAGAGAAGAAATAATAAAGTAAGTGTAAAAACCTCTTGTCATACATGTGAGCTTCTGAGAAATGGACAGAGATGTGGGAAAGTATATAATATTCACTCATTCCTTGAGTTTCTCATTACCTCTACTTGATATGATTGACTGAGATAACAATAGGGGTGGTCTGCTCTCCCCCCCCCCAAAAAAAAAAACATTGCTAGAACTCTAGGAAACTTTTGTGTAGCTGGAAGGATTTTCAAATATAAGTCTGGCATTTAATTTTCAGAGACTAAATACAGCTGCAGGGCTGTTGATTGATATTGCTAGAGGAGATACCTTGTCAGTACTTCAAAGTAAACTACCCAAGATGCTGGCCCAGGTCTGTAAACACCTGTCTGGGGCAAGGATATCAGAAGGACTTCCAGGTCCCATATGAATCTGTCACACCTGAATCCTCACTCTGGATGCTCTCCTTGAAATGAGCAGAATGGCTAACAGAAGTAGGGCCATCTCAACAGTTATACCTTGTTCTGTGTACTTTACTTCCTACGAATGCTTTCTTTACTGGCCTCAAAGTGCCAGGTATAATGCCTGTTTCCATCACTTTTAATGTAACTTAATGTGGTTTAAAATGTTTGAAACCACTTAGTGAGCTGCAGTTGAAAAATGGAATATGAACACTTGGCAAAATGTGTATATCCCCCACTAACTGAATATGAGGACATGAACTGGAAGAGCCCTGTTGGAGCAGATCCAGACTTTATCTAGTTAAGCATCCACTCCCCAGTAGTAGCTGGCCAGATGTTTTCGGTAGGCAGGGTATGAAGCCATTAGCCCTGACTGATTGTTTGGGTGTACTGGGGGAAACAGTAGGTATTCGTTTACCATATTTCCTTGGAACATAACCTTCAGTGAATTCTTACTTTTGACAAATTTTATTGACATACAGACAATTTCAGGAAGCAAAAGAAAAATACCAGGATGCAGACAGCAAAGTCAGGAGTTTGAAGAAATTCATTAAATTGTTGGATGACGTGATGACTCAGAGACACAAAACATTCCTGTATTTTAGAAGGTTGGTATGATACTATATGCTTATTTGTAAGTAGAAACAAAACAAGAAACATCCACTAATAGAAGAGATCCTTAGGTGTTCCTATCTCCTTCTTGTTGATGAGTCAGTGAGGTGGAACAGAATGCAAAAGTACTATTGTGCTTTTGTTCCTGGGTCATTGTCTGTGTTCAAGTTCTGCTTATGACTGTTATAAGGGGTTGGAATAAATAGATTTTAAAAGTACATTGTTTGGTGTACATGTGCTGAGCCAATAGGACAAACAAGATAGCTTAAAATATGCTTACTCGGGGCCCTGTTAGTTTAAAATATGCTTACTAGGGGCCCTGTTTCCCATACTTTGCTCTGTTTTTCCTCTCCCATATATTGACTCAAGCACCAGTTTTGATTCAGAAACAGTACCTCACTTGGGAGTAGAGTGCAACTTCTAACATATAGCCCTACCAATAGTCACAGAAGTATAAATGGGAAATACAGATTTACATTCTTATGGTTTATAGTACAATGTGTCCTTTAGCTCCATACTGCTGGATTTCTGAAATAGTAAAACCCAGCTCTATAAAGCTCTATAGCTATCTTTTTATTCAAATGTCAACATTGGCATCAAGCTTTTAAGGTTATTTTAATATGTTTGTTGTTGTTAGTCATGAAGTCGTGTCTGACCTATCGTGACCCCATGGACAACATTCCTCCAGGCCTTCCTGTCCTCCACCATCCACTTAAGCTCACACCAACTGCTTCAATGACTTCATCTAGCAACCTCATTCTCTGCCGTCCCCTTCTTCTTTTGCCATCTATTGTTCCCAGCATTAGGCTCTTCTCCAGGGAGACCTTCCTTCTCATTAGGTGGCCAAAGTATTTGAGTTTCATCTTCAGGATCTGGCCTTCTAAAGAGCAGTCAGGGTTGATCTTCTCTAGGACTGACCGGTTTGATCACCTTGCAGTCCAAGGGATTTGCAAGAGTCTCCTCCAGCACCACAATTCAGAGGCATCAGTTCTTTGGCGCTCAGCCTTCCTTATGGTCCAGCTTTCACAGCCATACATTGCAACTGGGAAAACCATAGCCTTGACTGTACGCACTTTTGTTGGCAGGGTGATGTCTCTACTTTTTAGTATGCTGTCTAGATTTGCCATAGCTTTCCTCCCCAGGAGCAAGCGTCTTTTAATCTCTTGGCTGCAGTCCCTGTCTGTGGTGATCTTGGAGCCCAGGAAAATAAAATCTGTCACTACCTCCATTTCTTCCCCATCTATTTGCCAGGAAGTGAGAGGACCGGATGCCATGATCTTAGTTTTCTTAATGTTGAGTTTCAAGCCAACTTTTGCGCTCTCCTCCTTCACCCGCATCAAGAGGCTCTTTAGTTCCTCTTCACTTTCTGCCATGAGAGTGGTATCATCTGCATATCTGAGGTTGTTGATACTTCTCCCAGCAATCTTAATTCCAGGTGGTGATTCATCTAGGCCCACCTTTCTCATGATAGAAACATAGAAACAGAGCAAGTCAGAAGGGGCCTCTTGGGCCATCCGGCCGGCTCCACTCACAACATGCCCACCATGTGCACTTCCAGCCTATCCTTGAACACCTGCACCAATGGGGCCTCAACGACTTCTCGTGGAAGCTCATTCCACACCCTCGGGGTCTTAACTGTCAGGAAATGCTTCCTGGAATCCAAATGGAACCTTGGCTCCCTGAGCTTTGCTCCGTTGGAGCATGTCCTGCCTTCCTCTGCAGGGGAGGTCTCTACCCATCTCCATGTGACATCCCCTCACATACCTGTATGTCGCCAACATATCCCCTCTTAGTCTCTGATGTGCTCTGCATATAAGTTAAATAGGCAGGGTGACAGTATACAGCCTTGCCGAACTCCTTTCTCAATTTTGAACCAATCAGTGGTTCTGGGTCCAGTGCTCACTGTTGCTTCTTGACCCGCATATAGGTTTCTCAAGAGACAAATAAGATGGTCTGGTACTCCCATCTCTTTAAGAACTTGCCACAATTTGTTCTGACCCACACAATCAAAGGCTTTAGCATAGTCAATGAAGGAGAAGTAGATGTTTTTCTGGAACTCCCTAGCTTTCTCCATGATCCAGCATATGTTGGTAATTTGATCTCTAGTTCCTCTGCTTCTTGGAAATCCTGCCTGTACTTCTGGAAGTTCTCAGTCCACATACTGCTGGAGCCTAGCTTGTAGGATTTTGAGCATAACTTTGCTAGCATGTGAAATAAGTGCAATGGTGCGGTAGTTTGAACATTCTTTAGCATTGCCCTTCTTTGGGATTGGAATGTAAACTGACCTTTTCCAATCCTGTGGCCACTGTTGAGTCTTCTAAGTTTGCTGGCATATTGAGTGTAGCACTTTTACTGCATTGTCTTTTAAGATTTTGAATAGCTCACCTGGAATACTGTGACCTCCACTAGCTTTGTTGTTGCTCAGACTTCCTAAGGCCCATTTGACTTCACATTCCAGGATGTCTGGCTCGAGGTCAGTGACCACCCCATCATGGTTATCAGGGACGTTAAGCTCTTTCTTGTATAGTTCCTCTGTGTAATCTTACCACCTCTTCTTAATCTCTTCTGCCTCTGTTAGGTCCCTGCCATTTTGGTCCTTTATCATGCCCATCTTTGCATGAAACGTTCCCTTCATATCTCCAATTTTCTTGAAGAGAGCTCTGGTCCTCCCTATTCTATTGTTTTCTTTTTCTTTGCACTGTTTATTGAAGGAAGCATTCTTATCTCTTCTAGCTATTCTCTGGAATTCAGTTGGGTGTATCTTTCTCTTTCTCCCTTGCCTTTCACTTCCCTTCTTTCCTCAGCTATTTGTAAAGCTTCCTCAGACAGCCATTTTGCTTTCTTGCATTTCTTTTTCTTTGGGATGGTTTTAGTTGCTACCTCTTGTACAATGTTGCGAACATCCATCCAGAGTTCTTCAGGCACTCTGTCTATCAGATCTAATTCCTTAAATCCATTTGTCACCTCTACTGT